CTATCAATCTCCGCGACCAGCCAGCTATCATAGCTTTTGGTGTTAAATTTAAGGAAACAGGCACCGCAACTACTAGTGATTCGAATAGGAAGTCACCTTGAGTGTCCACGAGGTAGAGATAATAGTGTGTTTACTCTAAGCCAATTAACTCGTCATTCAAGTTCAGTTACAGTGGTCGGGTTCAAACATTTCTACTTTGTGATCTGTCCAGTTAAAATCCACTAGACCATGACACATTGTGCAATCGTCGCTCACTTATTGGAAACACGTCACTCCAAGCCCACTCAACCTTTGTACCAATCAAGGCATTACGGCTTAAGAAACCAGCGTCCACTGATGCGATTTGCGGTCATGCAAACCTGATCTGCGTCCCAGGCTTTGCCATTAACATTCTCAAAAGCTGATCGTGTCATACGTAACCAAAGAGATTACGTAAATTCGCAGTATAACATTCTACTGTCACGATCTTCGTGCGTGTCGGTGTGCAGACATTTTTATGTTTTTCACCCCATCCCCACCCCTCGATTACTGCAATACAAACGAATTTTATCTGATCCCAATCCACTTCCAAACATTAGTAAACGAGAACAAATCAACCCCAAACTAACGTATGCAACGGTCGCGAAAATAGGCTCGAATTCGTTAGTATCCCATTTTGAGGAGATGATCTAATTGCATGGGTTGTTCGTCGACTCCTTACTACAGTTGAGTCCATCTATTCTGCAGCGAAGCCAATCATGATTTAGAAAACAATCAACTCGCCAACTTGGTCAAGTACAGACAGATCCAACAATTCAGTCACCTCCAGTTGCATCTATCTTTTTCAGTATACTTGTGGTTTGCAGTGAGTTGGAAGGACTGAACGCCGGCTGTCGACCAGAAGGAATGACCATGTTTAAAAAAATTGGCACTTCGAGGAGGAAAACTCCCAGCAAACGCAATGGCACGACATTTTTTGGATACCAGACATTCCATTGGCAAACTCCAGGTTTTTCACGTTATCCTAAAATTTCAAAGCCCAATGAAGCAAAGATGTGCCGAAGCGGTTGTCACTAATCCTGTAAAGCCTAGCCTTTGCGTGCAAAAGCGTTCGTCGGACAATTGCCATTACTACGGTTATTGACATGCACCACCTGTCTCTTCCCTGATTTCTCCTTATCTCAGCCATTCACGTAACCCATTGTCAACACATCTCCCTTTTTATTTCCATGTTGCGTAACTCTTTCAACCCACCAGATTGACCAATTTCCTATTCCGTTATTTTTCCATATTGGTCTTAATTAATTTCGGAATTTGTTTATATAAACTGTCCTCTCATGTGATAATATGCACTTTTCTTCGCAGTTGATCGATTTTCACCCCTTCTAGATTACTCATCTCGAAATGACTTTGTTAATGACACAACAACCAACAAAGCTTGAAGCGAAAACAATCACAGAAAAAAATACCAAGGTTTATGCTTTAATAGTTTAATGGGAGACAATGCTTCAGGGGTTACGTTGTTCTTTTAATTATAATAATCATGCCATCAGTATTAATTTTATTCATTTTTCAAGTGCAGGAACTTATTGGAACACCTAGTTTTTTTGGCAAGAGGTGAGATGGGGTATCGGGGTGGGATAGGATTACGATTCTAAATAGCACGGATATAAAAATTGTTCCTAATATAAGTCACAGTTCAAAACTTTCAGTTCATTTTGTGCGAAAAACTAATAATACATCTTTCGTGAGATTGATTATCGAAGTTATTTTCTGTATCAATTGAGTGAATTATCAGGTACAATGAGAATGCCAAAAGGAATATGTTCAATTAGCACGACTAATTTGTAGTTGCTGATTAACACCAACAAGCATCCTTTGGAACACAGGTAAGATCCTTAGATATGAAGCTATACAACAGAATGTTTAATCTGTATACTTGATCCTACTCGCTGACGAATTAGACTTCGGCACGTGAAAGGGCCTTGTCCCGATATGCACATATAACCAATGGATGAAACCGTTTTAGATGGGGTAATGATAATGTATGAAACTCATTACGTGATTTGAAACCCCACAGAAGTGTGCATGAACCATGATTATTGAAAAGGCGGAAACGACAGTCAGGCAACTGTTACCCAGTGGTCTAAATTTAACATACGCAAACAAAAAATCCCTGGTTCCTAGTGATCAAGACTGCAATAAAAAATGAACTCACCGATATGTATTTTGTCTACCAGCTGTCCGTTAACACTCAGCAGATAGGTGACAAACATCATATACGAATAGCAGAACACTTCATTCACTCTCAGCATTGTTCTTCGTTAGACTTATTCACAAAATAGAATGAGTTACAGTTGTGATTTTTGAGGATGTCCTAACTATGCTGCTCATCGGTTTGGGGGTTTAAATGAAAGTAGATAGAGGAAAGCTACTGGTGAATTTGGTAACAATGGTTTTGCCTTTGGTCAACGCACCTGATGAGGACAGATTACCTCAAGTACGTCAAAGCGCTCACTGGGACATGTGTTAATTTAGAACTGATTTACAAATTACTTTTGATTAATCGAATGGGGTCAGTCAAACTGACAGTCATCATTATGGCAAATGTGTTTCCATCCCATGAGTTTGGCATCGTTTTTCTGTCATAAATGTGTGAAAATGTTTTGTTCCTTTTCTAAGGATGCATCGAGTTTGTTCGTTAACTCTTGACAGAAAGTTTTCTTGTGAATTGTGTTTAGAAACCTGATGTAGGTTTGATGGTCAGGGTTGATGGCCACAACTAAACGTAATCGATGGGTTATTGTTGCTTTTAGTGAGCACCATTCCATTTAGGTAAGGAGGGGAACGTAATGAATTCATGGAGGTGAGTAGTGAAATCATTATCTTTTCAGTGGGTGACACAATTTTGGTGCACCGGTTTATTTTAGCAGATGGTACACTAACTGTGGGACCAACAACTGACGATTATGCATGTTGGGAGACGTGAGCACGTTGGCATTGATAATTCTGGAACCCTCATTTGAGTTGACTGACAGGCGTCTTCTGTGTGAATGGTATGGAGCTGAAATTCCGAGCAGAAAGAAGGATGCGTGTTAGTAGTGAGCACCGACAAGATTAAAACTTGGATCTAACACTTTCCGAGATCAACTAAATGAGTTAAAAATTGCCTGTGAATATGAAGTTTGAAAGCTGAACTGTCAAAAACGATACAAGTTGAGCTACAGTCCTAGAAGAAGCAAAAGCCTGAGTTTTGTTCATTCCAACCTATCTCTTTTTTTCAACAATTACGATATCTTCAAATGTTAATATAACAAACTACAGGAGATGCCGAAGATTTAATGAAATAAGCTATGCGTATATATGAGATCTGATTCGTAGTTTAAATAAGCCAGTTGAGTAGATTGATTGCATTTAGTAAATGCATTTTGTTTATACACAGTCGACTTTCATTGATGAAAAGTCCTGGAAGCTTTGTAGATTTATATCATCCGTTTTAGCAGCTGTCATTATTTAACATACACCGGAATCACTATGATTGAAATCCGGTTATCCGGAACGAACTGCATGTCAGAGCCCGCTGATCTGGCGCCCACCGGATATATATCAGATTTAATCAGACAGCTCTTGGCTCTCCGAGGCATGATTTCTTAGAGGGTATGGCCGAAAGGGAACATGAAATGTGAGCGCATGAAGCGATATTTGATCACGAAAAACGCCGAATGTGCAATTGACCTAATGTCGCGCATGGTTCTGAACTACATCAAAATTACTTGCATCAAGTATTGTTGTAAATCCAAAAGGTAAGTGCCAAACTGAGTACCTAGTACTATTGGCAAGAACAACGTGAGTAGACGGTAAATGGGATTACACAGAAAGATGCATCCCATCCAGAACAGGTCAGCAACGTTTTCATGAAAGACTCTCAATAAGTGGCAAAAAAATGCATTGCCTCTATTGCCACTACTACACTACTGAATCAGTTACTCTGATCCCATTGTTCAATATTGTACTGATTCGCCAACCGCTTCCTCTTGCGCCCACTAATCACACTATTCGTCCACACTGTGAGCAGAACCTTATTACATCAAAACAAATCTATCAAGACCAGGTGTTTGATGTGGTCCTCTACTCCTTTGTCCGAATCAGAAGCGTTTTGTTGATGTTTTAGTTAGTTTTATTTACTTTTCTGGTTGTTGGTGTCACATGCCTCAACGACTGTTTTGCCTACTTCCTGAATCCTTTGTTGTTTCAAACCATTAACGAGCTCACCGTGCCATATAACCGAAAGAGAGGGAGAAAACGATTGATTCAGCTGCACAAAAATGCAATCCACCGATCCTTCATGTCTTGTACCAAGGGGTGACACTCGACTGTGTGTGTGTGAGTATGTATTACATTATTGTGAGGTAATTTGTTTGTAGCATTCCCTATAATTACTCACCTTGAAATTTGTTTACAAATTTTAGACAGTCTGTTTGGTAGCGAAAAACAATACGTTAATAAACATTTAGGTTCCGACCTTATAAATAAGAATCATTGTCCAAGGGATTGATGGTTGAGCACCACGAAAATATCATGCAGGGTGCTTCACTGGGTACCTGGCTTTTCCTGTTAGCCTTTTGTACGCAACAATCTGAGACAAAAGAACTGCTTGTTGGTAAGTTGAACGATTGCGTTTTTTATGTCCGGACCGGTTTGACCCATTGAAAAAATCTGAGCAATGCGGTGACAAAAATGAACTACTGGTTCTTCGGTTTCACTTTGCGGAATCAAATTTATTCTAACATTGTCATAAAACTGCCCGTGTCATTGGGATGCAAAGCAGAACGCGCCAAATTTAAAACCGACAGTGTATTGTACTCAGACTGATGAACTATAAAATAATCGCATAGATCTCATTGTTGAAATATGTTTTTAGACCACATATCAAATAAAAATTCTCATAATGTCCATTCAATTAATGGTAAGTTTACTGTGAGGTGTGCACTTTTTTCTTTACATCATTAAGGCTTGCCGCCCAGAAGGGATTTGGAGCTAACATTGAAAATGGTTTTCGTTGAGTTTNNNNCTGCAATCAAAAGAACTAAAGGTGAATCCAAATAACGCATCCCGAACGTTCCGGCAGTGCTCAAAAGGAAACAGATGGGGTTATATAATTCAGTTATGCGAAGTCTGTTACTCGCTTCGGATCAAACAATGAATTACTTACCTAATATGATAATAACAGCAACAATAGTCTCAGACTTACTTAATTCTATATACATAGTTGTGGCGAAATAGAGCTATCAAATGATACGCGAATGGCGTGGTGAAGGGATTCGAACACATGACTTTCGAGTTAGTTTCTTTATCGTGCCTATCTGGACCATGTATCTGGTAGAAATGCACGTGCAAATTTAAACTAATGAAAGTTGTATCATTTAGCTCACTCAAAAAGTAATGGAGTATGAAGATCTTTAGGTCCACTTAAACAATACAACTATCAGCAGTTTATTCACTTTGATCGTAGTCATTTGTTGTTGCATTATTGTTTTTGTGAGAACAAGCTGAAGTGATCTTTTCAAATAGAAAATATGACGGTTATAAATTTGTATATAATGTTCACCAAGAAATCTTGGGAACCACATCAAAACACCGAAACCCATATATCCCGAGCTGGAATAATTCGACAGTATGCAAAACAAAGACAGTCTGTTTGCTCTCATTTTAGGTATGGCAATAGAAAAAGGAAACTTGAGTGGGAATGCACATTCAGGATAAGAGTGGCAAATTCTTATGAGGCACCTTAAAATTGAGTATTCTGTTTCGTTTCATGCGTTCAAGCATTCTTTTAATAAAAAAACTTGCAGTGATTGGCACACGGAATTAAAGAGTCTTTTTCAGCGAAACAAATTGAATAGCCAGCAAATCCTCGATCATCATTGACTAACTGAGTATAATTTAAAATGTTTGATAATTCCCCCAGAAGAACTATCAAATAAGTACCTAGCCTTGAGGCCAATGTGTTTAGTCCAGTAGTACCAGGTGAATGATTATACACACAAGGAGGCTGCATGGCTTATCATTCTGTACTCCAGTCAAAAATGCACCTGCAAATACCATTTGTGCAGCATAGAATGCTCTATTTACTTTATTGGGATCTGTGCATGGGACAAGGAAGCCCGTGAATTAAAAGTTTGGTTAGATATGATGTCAGCCGAAATGTTACAAATTGAAAATTATCAAAGATAATCTAATAACTTCTATCAATATTCCCCTTTTGATCAGGTATCATCTACGACGAACATTTTGACAATTCAATTTTTCCACTTGAGAGTGCACTTCAAAACATAAGCCGAGTACTTCCCCGTCTCACACTGAAGATTATGATGTCCCAAAGTGGAAAAGTAGCACCGAAGCTTACATTTTTAGTTCGCCCGTATGGTCTTAATGAAGGTAGGTCCGCTTATTTATTCAATTCATTGATACGCCCAACCACGTTACTCAAATGAACCACACAATACACAGTTTACTTATAACTACTCATAAGTAGCGTATAATAACATGAGAAAATAAACCACTCCTCAGAAGGGGATCATCATCTTACTGAAAATACTCTTCTTCCGTAGTTATTTGGAGTCCTTAACCATAGAGTACTGTTCCACGATTTGACTCTAAAGTGTTTTTGAGTTGATCGATATCGTTCGGTTCAAAATGAGACCATCACTGATAACGCATCTCGTCGAGATGGCTCGATTTACCAGCTTTGTTATATATGCTTTTGCTCTATATGCCCAGCTCTCTTGATCCTTTCAGTTATTTGCTTCTATTACATGCTATTTCAAACGGAGAGGTTTGGGCAGTATTCGCCTTTTTGTGTTTTATTTGCGAAGAAATCCATACAGGAGTTGTGTGACAATTATTGTGGAGACAGGCTTTCAAGAGCTTACGTAGTAAAAGATGGAATACATTGATAAAGGCTAAAATGTTGACTCCGAAATGATCAGCACCAGAAGTTGAATTCACTCATTCAAGTCGCCTACTAACATGAAAAAGCACGGTGTACCGCCAGCTAAAGCTATGAATAAGCAGTTTGGTTCAATTATGGGTATTTTGCTGGTAAGCAACACCATTTACCCAAATAAGTATTTCTTAGGGTCAAATATCGGCAGATTATGTTCGGAATTTTGAGAGAATCAATGTTGTATAAGAAAGACGCGCGTCGTTTGATTTACACTATATCTCTTTTTGTACCACATTTTCAAGAGGGTATTCCTTCTGATTGTCCAAACCAAAGCATAAATAATCGTGTTTGGAAACTCAACATTGTTTCAGGTTAGTTGTTGTGCGATCAGTGGAAAGTTTTTAACTCTCCCGTGAACGACATTCAAATGGTGCTGTCACAATAAGAACCAAATAAGAGTTCATTCAACGCTTGTTTAATTTTACTCAATCTTGATCGTTTCTATGGCAAAACACATATTTTTAATTTCGCACGAATTCTTTTCCGGTGTTGTCCCTTGAGACTGTTTGGAACCACTGATGATCGAAATGATGAATGAGATTCCGCGGAACCTTGCTGAACAAAAAAATTCAGTATCATTATGATATAGGCAGGTTCTTTCGTATTTATTATGAAAACTTGTGTACAAAGGTGGTGAAAGGTTTTGTGGTGGTCCATTGTTTGGATATAACTTCAGTCTGGGAGTTTCGTGTTACGTATAAAGTCAGCACTTGGGATCAGTGGAATTCGATGCAGTAGTTTGGACAACCATTTGGTTATATTTTACAATTAGGAAGTTGATGCATTGGAGTTTCTTATTATAAAATTTGAGAAAACAAAAAATAGTGATAACACTCGTTTTCGCAAACTTCATGTGGTGATTACTCACGAGCTGTGGACTCTTTTGTTTTATTGAACACGATATCCTTGTACATTCCGAATTTCCGCTCATTACAGTTCCATTCCGTTGCTGAGTTCTGTCTTCTGATTTCATTTCGAGTCCTAATTCCGGGTTGGACTATTACTGCACGGAATCTGATACGTATACGAATTACGAGTCCGAGTGCTAACCACAACACTTCATCTTCTGGGTAATGCAGAAATGTCTAATTTGCGTAATGTTAAATCATATGTGCGAATTTGATTGGTAGATATGGTCAATTTACTGTGTATGAGGTTTGGAAGAACGGGCATTTGGATGAGGCACATGAGTATTAGAACGGAGTCAAGGTTAACCATCACCTGTTTAGGTCACGTGATCATGGCAAGGGTCATCTCCAGTCACGTGCCTGATTTTACATCATGATCACAACAGTTGAAGCGTTTTAGCTAGTCGCTTTTCGGAGGAAAGCAATGGGTTTAACGGAAGGGTGGCTAAATTCTCGGCCGTTGCTAAATGTTGTCGATGAACAGTCTACGATGGATAAGGTGGCCCCTGGTAGATTATGTTTACGGCATCTTTACTCATTGGATATCCTGTATCCGCGAAATGTTCCAGGATGGCATAGGAAAGATTGATTGTCTACCAATCACCATTATTATTCGTTATTCGCCGGACAAATTCAAGCAAAAGCCACTACATTGACAGGTACGAAATGACTACTTGTCGAACAAAATCAGCAGGTAAAGTGTTTTAATGTGTCCTGCAACTCAGTATAGTGTATATTTCTAGCTGCATCCGTCCCAAATGTATTGACTGCTGTTGCATTGTAGTTACGTCAAACCGCTTGCCCTCCAGGTACTGAGCTTTGCAAAAACAAAGTGTTTGACTGGTTGAAGCCATTTTGATTCAGTAAAGATGATCGATATGAGACACTCAGAGGACGTTACTGTCACCTGATCACCTGATCGCATGTTGAA